GAACTCGTGAAAAATTGTATGAATATATCCATATATGACATACTACATTTGGTGGCCCGTCCGTACGTTAGTACTACATTTGGTGGCCCGTCCGTACGTTAGTACTACATTTGGTGGCCCGTAACGTGCTCATAAATGACTGTGTATTCGTGTGAAGATTTTTACATGTTGGCATAAAATAACAGTTTATCAGCTGTGATTGAACGCAGCGCGGTGAAGCTGCGCCGCTTTGAAGCAAAACGCTGCATGTTTTAGCGTGTTGGGCTGTGATGCTAAAAGCTCACAGAAAGCTGAAATAGTGTCATATGTCTTGTGAAAGCTGAAATTGTACGCCTGTTATGTGTAGCTAAGCTTAGAGCTGTGGAAAACGTTATTCTGTTTAAACTGTGGTCCAAACGGACGGAGGTCCGGTTGTGGTCCGGCTCGGTTCTGGAAAAAGTTCGAACGAGTTGTTTTAAACGGTTTAAAAGACGTTGTGCCACGGAGCGCCGACTCCGTGCAGCTCAGAGAGTTGATTCGTTACATTTTTTAACAGAAAAAGTGCATTTTGACAGTTTAAAAGACGAAAAAGTTGATGAACTGATTTTATGCTAATCTAGCATGCTAGTTGCTTTAAAGCTTCGTGATTGGTTGAATATTGCTGCTGTGGAGCGCTCTGATTCGCTGAGAAGTGACTGACGTGGCTACGTCATTTCCTCTCAACCCTGCGCTGCTCTGTCATTGGTGATTTCAGTCACGTGACCCGGAAATGAAAATTCGTTTTCATAGGGAAATAAAATCTGCTTTTTAAAGCTGAAAAGCGCTTTAAAAGTGTATTTTGATACGCTGGTTAAGTTCTTCGAAGCATACTCGCTGAAATTTTGCCACGTTACGAGTTTAAAATCCGTCATTAAATGATGTTTTTGAACAACGCTAGCGATGCTAATTTTAAGCTAACAGCTAACGACCGGATGAGTGACGTGTCACGTCACTTCCTCCATGTCGGAAATGAGCTTTGCCGTGCTTAAAATCACTAAATAAAGCTGCAATATTGTCCCAGAAAACTCATGTTCATGCATAAAAGTCGTGCTTGTTGAAACTACGCCACGTTTACGCTTAAATTCGTTCAGAAACGTTGATTTAAACCGAGTTTAGCCGAAGCTAACTTTAAGCTAAGCGGCTAACAACAGGATGTCAACCGAACGTCACAGGAAGTCGTCATAGACTCCTGCTGGTAGAAAGCTAAACACTGCCCCCTCCTGTAGAAACTTTAAATCACAGTTTCACTTCAGTTTTAGGTTTAAAGAGTGAAATTAAACGTTTTTATTTTTCTGTAAGGCATTTTTGAGTTAACAAACTTCCTCTAGCTGAATAATCACTGTTATCCTGCATTTTAAAAGTTATAAAGGTATTTATGCAAAGAGCATTTACCAAAGAGACTTTATTCACTGGTAATCCCTTATAAAGGTACAAAATAAAGTTAGGAACTTTTTAAAAAATAGAAACGGTTCAAATATTCACAGAGTTGAAAAGTTTACTCATTTTGCTTGAAAGATAATACACGTTTAATTGCTAGATCACTAAATAAGAGTAAACTTATCAGGAAAAAGAAACTTTTCTGTTTAAGTTACCACCTAAAAATAAATCTTCCTATTTAATTTTAAATACAGGATGAGACAGGAGAACAGGAATAACAGTTTTTCTGAAGGAAGGACTGATTAATCCTGATACATCATCAACTGTTCTTTTTCTTTTCACCACTTAGTTCTATGAGTAACTGTTAAAATAGCAAATTTCTGGAACAGAACGGTTTAAAAAACGTTTTAAACCAATGATTGCTGTGAGACTTTTAGAAAAATTGCAGGTTTATAAAAAATTCAGTGCTTTAGAGTAAAATACACTAAAAAGAGCTTGGTAACTAGTACCTGTTGAAAAATAAGCACATACAAGTAACACTGCCGAGAGCATTTACTTAAATATTCATGAATTGGGGTAAAACCTGAGAAAGGTACCCACATTTGAATAAGTTGACTTATAACAGTACTTCTGTGTAAACCCAAAAAGCTAAAATAGTGTGAAAACTCATTGACTCGAATACAAATATTTACCTGTAAAATATCTGAAGCTTGCAACTGTTTTTAACAGATAAAGTGCTACACAGTGAAAAACATGACAGGTGTGTTAGGAAAAGATTTTGATGCTTATGGGATAAGGGACTGTTTAAAGAATGCGTTAGCGCTTCTGACAGATTCCTTACATCCACAGATCAAGCAGGCAGAGGGCATGAACCCAAAAGAGTTAGTGGACAATCTGAAGGAGGTTGCAGAAAGTGTGACCTCTACAGAAATTACAATGCCAAACTATGAAAAGCTGGCTAAAATTGCAATTTTGCTGAAAGAATCATTCTATACGGTTGTTGAGAAAGCTGATTACCTTGCAATAAGGTTAAACAGTGAAAAAGAGGTGGTTCAGAAAATTGAAGAACACTTCCTTCAATTTAAAAGTGAACACGAAGTCCTCACAAAAAAACATTCTGAACAGATGTTTCAATCACAGCAAAATGCAAATGCAGAAATTGATTCGCTGAATAGCAAAATAGATGTGCTTAACAAAGATCGGGAAGAATGCAGAATGGATAAACACATATTGCAACAGCTAAAGATGCGTGTGGAAAGTGATTATCATACATCACAGGAACGCTTAAAAACATGTGAAGAAAAACTACGAGCAGCAACAAACAAGATTTCTGACGTGGGGCGAGTTCGTCTGGAACTCAGAGAAGACCGTGGACAGAGTCCAGGCCACCCACATACACCTCAGAAAGACGTTGTTGCACCTCCTGCTCGTGATCCACCCTCACCTAAAGTGGCAGGAACAGACCTGAACAGGTCTCCTCCACAAAACATGCAACAGAGTGCATGGAAACTGTCTCCTTCAATGGATGATTTGCAAAAAATCTCAAAATATGTAAAACACTTTGTTCCTGGACCGATGGGCTCATCTGGAACAAAAGCGTACCTCAGAGAACTGGAGTTCAGATTGAGATCTTATCCTAATGCTACCATAGAGGATAAGATCAGTCTGATACGGCTCACTTCGGACAGAGAGGTGTTCACCTTCATCGAGCGTCTACCTGATGCAACGAGAAAGGTTTACAACCTTCTGTGTGAAGCTCTGATCAAAGAGTACGACTCCTGCACAGGACCAGCTGGATACCCAGCCGCAGAAAAGGTCAAGCAGGGCAAGAATGAACATCCAAAGGTCTATTACAAAAGAATCTTCCAAGCTTATTTTGGTTACAGAAATGAAACCGGAATGGAGGAAGAAGAAAATTTTAAATTTGTTTTCAGCAAAAATCTCCACACTGACATATGCATGTCAGTACAAATTATGGCAAATTTCAGAGAAAAATCCATAAATGAGATTAAACAGTGTGCTGTGAATGTGTTCGAGGCACGTTCTCATGCTAAGACGCCCATAGAGGTGTTTCCTGGTATAAAGGTTAAACCCCACTCCCTAGAAGTGGAAGGAAGGTGCGAGTATCCACCTCCTCCTAAGACAGGCGAGAAAAGGCAGTATTTTCAGACTAACAAACCGCATAATGAAGGTGCACGCTGGGACAAAAAGGCTCCTCTTTCGGAGGATGAACGTGATTATCGTATATGGGACATGCGTAGGACGCAAGAATATGGGAACCGAGAGGACCCATATTATCAGGGGAAATCCGAAGAGGAACCCCCAAAAGACGTACCTAGCCGCCTCCCACCTCGGACGAAACGTACCGAGGCGATAAAATCACAAAGGTCCCAGGAACAAGGCCCTAAACCTCTGAGCTCGGAAGAGACAGAGGAAATGCAAAGGTTTTTAGACACTTTGATACACGCTGAAATGGGAACCAAACCAGGAGCACAATGTAGTGATCTGATCGCTACTAAATCTGAAGCCGCGAATGACAACATTACAGATGTCGGTGAAACACACCAAGACATTGCTGTTATTGCCTCCAACAACCCCTCATCGGACAAAGGGGGGATAAACTCACACACAAACGATGATGAGTCATCGCAAACTGAAAACTCAGAACCTGATTTTCATGATTTTGAACTAGGCATTCCATTTCTGGGAGGACTCCCAGACAACCTGGTACCGAGTCAAGAAGCTGGGCCAGTATGTTTCACGAAACCATCACAGGCCATCGCTCTTTTCTCAACCGATGATGTCGACCAAGGACCACAAACCTATGGTGCCGTGCCCATAGACAGGTCCGACGACTCAAAAAAGGATTCGTTGGAGCTCCCCAGGGAGCAAGAACCCTCATCAGTCTCATCACAGATTGAACAGGTGGTCGCTCAAGCCGACACTCTGACATCTGACGAAGAAAGAGACAAACCTCGCCAAGTTCTTTTAAAATATGAAAAGTCAATTTCAACTGACCCAGACATCATCCAACTTCAGAAGTTGGATGATCCTGCAATTAACTCGATGATACTGT